GGCATCATTTTCGGGAGATGGCTCATATGTATAAGGCTAGTGAATGTGTCGAGGTGATTACGAACTTCACAAGCCTTGCCGACACGCCTCCTCCCGGCTCCTCGGTGCGCTTGCAAGAGAGACTGTTGGAATCATTCTCGGCCATAAATAAACGCTAACTGATGACGTCGGAGTTTCAAAAGTTATGAGGATCCTGGCGCCTCTTCCGTCTGTTTCGATTGCCAAGTTCGAAACGGCCATTCGAAAACTCCATGTCTCAGACGCAATGACTTTCTGAAGGAGAGGTATGGTCATTAAGGGAGGCTGAATTCGAGCTGTTGGCTAGGTCGAGTATCACGGGCCGCCGCTCCGAATCCATAGTGATAAGAAGAATAGAATTTCCCGGAAATATCTTCGGGAAGCTCGCCGGAACTCAATTATCCATGAGAGCGCAGACAAACCCGGTGATGGACAGACATGGCTGCGTTCTCCGCACTCACTGCGCAAGAAGTAAATTGAAGAAAAATATATAATTCCTGCGATGTCTGAGGGCGGGTACGCTATTGCGAAAATTTATGGAGAGAGGTAATTGGTGCGACTCATCGCATGAAGAACATTACCGGTGAGAGATATTGCACTGTCTGGTGTTTCCTCCGCATAGATAAGGATCGCATAGCTCTGAGCCCGCCGAAGTTTCATTTCGCTTCTGAGTTCCCGTTGCGCAAAGGAAACCAGAGCTTCGACCTGGAGAGAGCAATCGAATCGCGGGAGTTGGAGACTTCTGGGTTACAACCGGTCGATGAGCAAATGTTCGGGGAAAGTCGGTGTCGTGACCGTCACCTCTGACGTCCGCACGAAGAGCCTTCACTCTACCGCTACGAGCTCTTCATTCCCCATTCGACATCCCTCTCGAGGAGAGGCCACCGCCAACGTTTTCCGAATTGTTTGAACAAGAATTCGTTATTCCATATCTTATCGTGGAGGAATCACGTTTGCCAGTTCTGAAACATAGAAGATCGAAGCTTCTATTCCGATGAGCCGCTGCTGACAGAGCAAAGGAACGCAAGTTTGCACCGATCAAATATTGAAGCTCCATCGGAAGACGAATTCTCAACGGCTTTCACCGAGCTTCCAGCGATGACAGCGAGCGGAGCTTTCGGACTGAGGGAAAAGTTTCGAGTGAGCTCAAACAGTGCGAGATCAGACACATTGTGTGTTTAATAGGTTTCCGCTCAGCTTGCCCAACCGAAGAGCCTGATCAGCTGACTTTCGACGGAGATCCGAGTCGCTGCAAAGCATCGAGGAAGCCTCGTTATCGGTACATCTCGAGAACGTGAGCTCGCGGAGTCAGAGCGTTTGCTCCTCGAACGCCAAGACCGTATGCAGCCAATGAGTTGTCGATTTTCAATCCCTCCGCTGAGCTCGTGTCGGCTTGACTCTCTCTTCTTCGATACACATCGTGTGCAACGCTGGCTTAACGATGCCCATGTATCGGTCTTAAGTCGTCGTGTTTCTCCCAGAATTCTAGCTCCCTTTGCGTTTTTTTGCGAAGTTAGCTCAGCAGAGTCCATGGAGTGCCACGAAATCGTCTCCAGAAGAACGCGCGAGCGAGCCTCCCATCTCATGCTTACTTAGTGACGACTCGGGCCTTCGCTCAAATTCCTCTCTCAAAGAATTTCTGAGGATCAGGAAATTTTTCAACATTTTTTTGCAATGCCGGCTCGTCTGTGGGAACGATTCCCTCCTCCCGAAACCGATTACCTTCTCGGGTAAGATTCTGGATGATCTCTGTCGGGGGAATTTCTGCGGATGCTTCGATTTTCGAAGCATTCTTGGACAGATCAGGTCAAGAACTATGAAGCGAATGCTCCGCCCCTCAGACCACGCGCTACCTGGGAAACGAAGACCGGCGGGCTGCCAACGATAATACGAGTTTCTGACAATGAGTAGAAAAAGTTTCACCTTTAAACAAAGACGCGGATTTAGCGATGCGACGACGTCGGTTTCGAGCTCGCCCCCGAGGGCGGCGCGCCGTCTTTTCTCCTTTCGTCGGGTTTAGCAGATATCAGTTAGGCTCCGGGGGTAGTAAAAAGTTAGAGAAGAAGAAGAAGATAACACGCTTTCTACCGAGTGGAGATGCTATCAACACTCGTGAACATTTTTCTGAGAGCCTCGGGGCTCTCTGTCGTGAGGAGAGATCTGAGCTGCACCCTGATGAAGATGTCTCCGAAATCTCTGCGCACATTGGTTAGGACGCAACCCTATTCCCCCTACATCGCATTTCCATCCAGACAAGCTCTCACTTGTCTCATTGTCAAGAAAAGCCCCAAAAATGGGAACTCTGCATCTCGTCACAGGAACATCATATCAGAGGACCGGCGGAAGATAAGAAAAATACAGTTCGCTCCTTCCCGGGATAAGTCGCGTGAGGAATACGTTCATGTAGTAAAGACGAAAATGCAACGTTCCCCTAACTTTCGTCGAGGAGGGTCCGGCCTCGTTCTATCCCGGCCGATATTCCTTGGACCGAGATATTTTTTTCACACTTCTGTCGTCGGTCACTTCCTTGCAGGCGATTCCGATTAGGGAGTTGAAGGTAATCCCGTCTCCACTCATTTATCGCAACAACATCACCAAAAGAAAATACGAAATGCCTAACAGGTTTTCAGCGGCAAGAAGGAGCTCTCCTTAGCAAAGCGATCTATTCTGAAAAGTTGACCTTAGGCCTCGCCATCTAGTCAAGCACTGCATTCACGCGCAACCAGGGTAGGCTCCGCAAGAATTATGCAAAGCCTTTGAAGACGAGAACGATGCGCTGGTGAACATCGGGTTACGACGATCCCGGCCTGGGCGAAAAGATTCTCAATAGAGCGCATGGTCGAGGCCTGGAGGAGTCATATGGACCCCCTGACAAATATGAAGATGAATAGACGAGGAAAACAGGACGAACGCGGAGGTTACTGAGCTACTCAGGTTCCGCAAGACTTCGAGAGGAAATCAGCGCAACTCACGTCGTGAGGGCCTGTCGAGGTGCCGGCATTGTATCGTTTTGGACACCGCCGAGATTGGACAGCCGACGGAAGATCCCCGGGATTTGTTGATCAAGGTGTCGAGAACAAAGCTGAGAATTTCATCTCGGATTAGGAACAATGTGAAGGCTTCGATACAGGGGTCGGAGCCCCGAGGAGACCGGTCGCATCTCAAGTCAGGCATCCCCCTTGATTCTGAAAAGAGGAAGTCAATCTAAGCCCACATCGTACGGAACCGGTGGACAAGTCCCTCGACACCGCAGAGATGTCTCTTTGTATCTCCGGTATCAGCGGAGATCTTCGGATCCTCGTCCTTTCGGATTTCTCTCCCAGAAGTTCCATGTTCCCGAGTCGGAGCCCACCCCAAGGAGTCGATACCCGTCCGTCTCTCCTCCGACGACAAGTCTTCTATGAGCCACCCCCCCCTCCCCTTTCTTCCGGCCCGATGAGGGGGGCAAACAGACGGGCGGCGGGCGCTGATAAATTCGCATCGGCAGATGTCCGCTCGAAACACTCCCGTCGTGATAAGCCCAGGATTCGGGAGCCGTCTGATCTTGGACATTCTAGATGGACTTGTGACGTAAGTGTGACGTCCGTGGATGTTGATGCCGGGAGCAAATGATAGAAACAGCCGAGTCGAATAGAACTTGGAGCGAAATCTACGTCGGAATTCCATCACAACTTACCTATTAGCTCCGTGCAGGCTCTTATGAAGCTCCTCTAGGACATAGTGCACAACGCAATGCGAAATTCACATCGATGGCAGACGACTTCGAAGGCTTAGGCTGATCCTATAATTCTAGTATTGATTATTCGGATGATGGATTACTATGGCACACAGACTATTTCGCATCAAGAGGGCGGTGTCCCGTCTGAGGCCGAACATGTGTTTGTCAACAGACCGCCAAATCATTGATAGCCGTCTCAATGCTTCCCGGTGGCTTTTCTCAGAGCTATCCCGAGCCGTCGGAGAATTTTATCTCGAAAGCGAGTATTGTATAATTCTGCAAAGATAGACACGGCTTTGAGTCAGCGTCCTGTATCGTTCGGTGTCCTCCTTTAGGTCCAGCCTAGCCCGTTCTCTCTCCGTACCAATTCGATACGACTCCGGAGCACTTGCTTTTTGCGAATCGTCCGGGCGTGAGTGTATGTCAGCGATTGGGATGGAGCTTTCCCGCCAGGATAAAGTTTCGTGCTTTCGTTCTGAGGTAGCGCTCCCTTTCGTTCGATGGTCGGGCACATGCAGAGGCTCCAGCGATGCTTCACGAGTGTCACCCCACTGAATGCAATCCTGGAGCACGAGATGTCGCACATCCTCCTGTCGGACAATCAGCCGTTCAGTGTAAGTCAGCGGAAACTTTCTTCCAACTTTCTCACCACTTATTCCGAATAGAATGCAAGTCCGGTGGCAACCTGTTGGCTGCTCCAGCAGCGCCCTCTGGTTGTGCACAGAGCCGATGCTTCGAACCGACCTCAGTCCATTCTAAGACTTCGGAGGAGCCCGAGCTCTGCTCGGGAGGGTTCGTCACAACCGCAGAATTCGGTCTATTTCAACCCATTTGGTGCATCAACAGCATCTGGATAATACATCGAGTAATGATTCTGAGTTAATGTGAACTGTGCCGGCCTGATCTCAGCGCTGCGAGAAGAGACTGATATCTCATGAAAACTTTCGAACTTCGGAAAACTCCCGTCAGGCAAGGGTGGCTTGAAGCTCCGAGTGGACGGCATTCCTCTAGATTTAATCTCGGATCAGTGCCGCGATCCTTGAAAGCGACCAGCTGTGCTTCCCTATAGACCACGAGAGGAGTCCGTAGTGTCGGTAGAGCTTCAACGGAGGAGAAGCCCGCCTGAAAGAATTTATTCCTGCTTCTTCTCAGCGACGTAGAGTGTTGGAGCGATCCGTTCCCTTCCCGGTTTTCCGACCCGGGACTCGGAGAAAAATTCGTCAGCGTCTCGAAGAAGTAGAGATTCTATACGGAAAACGTCGAAATGACGCTGGGGGTACACCCGCACAGCGCTGCAGCTTTGAGCAACATAACATTGAATCGATGTCTACAACTCTTGGAATTAAATTTCTCCCAAACGGATCTTCCACCGGAATGTCTCTCGGCCCTCGAGAACGGCACAGACGCCACTCTCAACGGGACAGCCATGACTTTTGAATTGCCCGCTTGGCAGCAGCTATCGTTCATTATGTGTTTTTCTCTAATTGTATTCGCTGGTGCTGTGGGTAACGCGATCGTCATCTGGATTGTGCTCGCTCACCAGAGGATGCGCAGCGTTACCAACTACTTCCTCGTGAACTTATCTGTGGCTGACATGACTACAGCGATGTTCAACGTGATTTTCAACGCAGTTTTCATGATGCATTCACACTGGCCTTTCGGCCAGACGTATTGCAAGGTCACGAACTTTATTTCCTTGCTCACCGTTTCATCTTCGGTCTTCACAATCACAGCCATGAGTATTGACAGGTAGGTGGATACCGAGGATACCCCAAGATACCGGAGGAGAGCGTCAGGTTTACCTGATTGGCTCGTCGAGGGACTTCCCCGTTCCTACAACGTGATGAGCTCTGGAAACAAGCTCCCCAGTCCGGCATAGCCCTGAAGATCCGAAGAAGGAACGAATGACTGAGGAACGAGGGGATGCGCATGCAGCCGCGAGACTTTTGCTGCGAGGTTTACGTCATCGCTACTTTGGCTCGGCGCTGCGCTTGACAGAGAAAAGAAAAAGACCGAGGTTTCGTAATAGAAATTCAGGCAACTCAAAACTGACACGAACATACAAGGGTTGAACACTTACCGGTTACTTTGCTCTATGGTGTCGGAGCTCTTTCCTAATCGCTGGGCCGGGGCCGGATCCATGCGTCGTCGGTGCGGTTCTTTTTCGCTTGAAGCTTGCGACAAAGCTCAGCTTTGCACGAGCGGAGTGACGTTCATGAAAAATGAATGATGCTCGTTCTTTGACTGCGAGCTTGAACGTGGCAGCTCCCCCATCGGGAGGATGAGCGTCCCCGCTACCGCTGTCACTCTCTCAGAGAACACAATTGAGCAGGAACCATGCCTGTCACTTACTGACACTCATACATACGCACTGTACAAGGAAAAGATCGCGGAGCTCGGGCGGCTTACATTCAGTTTCAACACGCGCGGCCAGGAAGACGAGTTAAAATGTTCCGAGCCTTCGCACGCGGCTCGCGCTCGGTGTGCTCGTTGGCACGATGTCAAATGAAGGAACTTTGTTCCAAATGAACGGGATCAGCGGAGCTCTCGGCCTCCGGAACGTGTCCCTAGGTCTCCTGGTCGGACTGGGGGAGCGAAAGCTCGACGGATTCCTATCGCGGAAAATGTTGCAAAATGGAGCGTAATGACTACATATTCGTCTTGATACGCTGTCTATCTACATACAGTCCAATGACTGGGAGTTCCGCCGCTGTGTCGTGCAGAAATCAGTGGGGATGAAAATATCGACTACAGTGGATAAATCCTATTCACATGAACGATCCGACCGTTGTCCTGCGCGTAGATCGATCATTCCAGCTAAGCTGCTGTCAATGCTACCACGGCCGACCGCTGGGTTCATGCCTTGCTCGAGTCTCTTGACTTGGTGTGCGGGAAAAGTTCCGCTGAATAAACGTGACGAGCCGATTTTTCACGTCGGAGTGGTACCATTTTCCCTCGAGCGACGAGTCTCCGTCGACTGATCGGATTCAGAATGCGAGCCAGAAATTCTCCGCCCCGGAAGAGCGAAAGCGTGCCCGGAAGAATCCGTGGGAACGTTTCGCGCTTCGAGCCCGCCTTTGTTTGCCTCAATCCTCTCCACCCCTTTCGGTAGAATAAGACTACGTACATTTCGTCTCTGTATCCTCACCGAGTGTTTTCATGAGGTAGGCAGAACAATCTCGTCGGAGCGCGGCTTGCTCTCAAACTATTGCAGAACGGTCTCGCGACGGGTCGAGAGCGACGAGGGCTCATACGGTATCTCTTGTTATTCTCCGTTTTGGCAAACAATCCGGGGCCTCGCCATCCAGCCACAATTGCTGTGCTTCCTCGTGCTGGTCTCATTAGAGCTCTCGCCTTTCACTCTCACGTTCTGATCGAGTAGACGTTCCCGTCATCGACAACATCGAAGAGTGCAGGGCCTCGCCTCCCTCATTGAAGCTCGGGCGGTACAGTAATTATCGATCCTCGTGCTGTGACTCTCGGGAATCGATGGGTTCGTTTTTTTCCTAGCTTCCGAGAAGCCGTGCATGCGAACTCGCTCGTGGGAATAACTTGGGCAATGAATGAATCTTCTCGCAATCCATCATTCAATTATGGACCGTTCCGCGTATGCATCGGTTTGTTCACGGGGATCATCTACTCATTGAATCAGCGAAGTCCATTGTCCTTCGCGGATTCGAAAGTATGCTGAACAAAGGATATCGACCCGAGTGTCACTGGAGTGTGGTGCGTTGCGCTCAATGAACGCATTGCAAGCGCGTGTTTGCGCGAATACACGTAATATTTATCTTCCGCGAGACTGTCGAGCCCCATCTCGAACACTCGGACGAAAATGTAAACGATGGGAGCTCACAGCTCCGGGGCCTCGTTCATCGCGAGCGAGCTGCCGAACTGATTCAGTCATCGCAGCCTATCGCAGAAAAATCTGGATTCGCGACCTTATGCTGATCAGGTCTCGGGATTGATATGACGTTTGGTGTACGCGTCGCGAGCTGCGATATTCCGTGTACGGTTTCGGATTGTGTCGAGTGCGAGAGACAGCGAAACCCTACAGCTGATCCGACTGGATCGTCACGGCTCTCTGAATTTTTCAGCGGAGGTATAACAGCTGTACGGAGCCCATTTTCCGGAGCCATCCGGAGTTGGCAAACTGCTCACGGATCCCGGCTGATGATAGCTATCTCAATGATTACAATGTCCAGAAATAGCGCAAGACATTCGAGGCGATTCAGAAGCGTGACGGATCATCTTCCGATCCGAGGCCTTGATTTTGGAGGAGACGGCGCCGGCGAGAAAGCGGAAGGCGTCTTCACTCTCCTTTCGAGGATCTTCTTCATCGGAGTCTTGGTCTAGACTTCGAAATTCAAGCTTAAGATCAAACCAGCCGAAGGAATGACCGCGGAAAAACAGCAAAAAGCAGCAATACCGACTATATTTGGCACACAGGCGCGTCCATACGATTTTTTTTGGGGGAGGGGGGGCAGCCGATTTCTGGAGTCGCATCAAAAAGAACAATTTCTCGATTTTGTCCGGAGATGGTGATTCTCGAGATAAAGCACGAAACCCCGTACTTACAATCATGACCATAAGTGAGGGGAATGCAGGAACTTCTGATTTTAATCCATCACAAATAGCACAACCATCGAACTATTCGAGTATTAATTTACTTCCCCGAAACCACTTCACAAAACCATTTCAAGCTTTCTCGGATTAGCCGCCATGTAGTCCACAATCTCTTCAACAGTAAGCGGCATTTCTCGATGAATTTTCAACGACCTCAAGCCATCCAATCTCTCTCCTTTCATCGTACTCCGAAGATCTGTTTTCAGCAACTAGAGTACGCTAAAAGTGCGTCCATCTGACGACAGGTCGACTGAAAATCTTGGGAGGGCCATGGCCCCCTGGGCCCCTCCCTATGGACGCTACTGTTGGCACACATCGGGCTTTCGGAATGTTCCATGCTCGCATCATCAGGAGTCGTCGTGAACGTACTCAAAAAATACATCCTGCATGAGATGAAGGCTGACCCCCTCATAATTGACCCGGCTCTCGGGCTCTTGGATCTCAGGGGTCGTTTTTCACAGTCTCTCAAAATTCATCATGACGTGGTTCTACTGTCGTGTGCCGTGGGCTCAGATCATATCGGTGTTCCTCTCGAGCGAGCCTGTTAGAAACAAAAACGTCCTCCAGCTCATCGCAGGAGGAGTAATAGGGCTCGAATTTATCTGCCTCAAGGACTACTTCTTGGGGCAAATAAGTTCGAGCACTCTGGAAGACCACAACGGAGGATAGAGCCTGCGCTTCGCACCCTGCACTCTATACCAGTAGCCCGCCCTCTCGCAGTGATTGAGACGGAGACCGGAGCGTCGGGTGTGGATATTTTGCCATGCAAAGTTTTGCATTCTGATATAGGTTGAACCTCTTCCCACGGATATTCAATAAAGGGGAAATCTTCGGTCAATCCAGCTCGCACTCGAACCCGATCGATTCAATGGAGTGAGAAACAATGCTCTGAGGAGCGGGGGAAAAGGGAACTCTGGCGGTAGGTCAATCCGTCAGCCTGTCGAGTTGACGGAGGGCCGCAACTCGCGAATGGAGTTCAGTGCTGCGATTTAGACGAACTCATTCAGCAGAGACACTTCCCAAGAACTAAGTTGCTCATTATAATATTATATGCCTCTCTTCCCGTTGAAAGAGTCGCATGTAGACAGAAAGTCAGATATTCGCTTCCATCAATTAGCGTCTCTGACAGCAGATAAATTATCTGAAAGTCGACGTCCCTGATGAACAGTCGTGGGGCGATGCGGAATCGTCTGCGGAGCCCCGATGAATGTTCTAGACGGAGCCGAGCGATCCCCCCCCTCCAGAGTCAGTCGTTCGCTCGTAGAGCTCAGGGCGCGAATGTGCGATGTTTCAATCCTCCGTAATTACCCACGAGGCATTTGCCGTATATTGTAGGAGAGCCTGAGATTGTCGGGATGCTATGCGAATATCAAGCACCCACTAGAAGGATATGCAGAGGAGCGCGAGTCCGAGCCCCCCCCCCCCGAACGACGTGCTTTCGGGAGGGACCCAGTCCATGGCGGTGGCTGCACCACGATTCTTTGCGCTCGCTCTGGATCGATCCAGGCTAATTGTGAGCAATGTTCCAGCTGGACTATCGCCATACCCGACGAGATCAGTGAGTGAACAGAGGTTCATTAGCCAGGCTCGGCTTTCATCTTCAGAGGAAATAGAAGAGCTGATAATGATTCACTTCTCCGTCGTAGGCTCCGCTTAGGCAGAAGAATGTCGACGTTTACATCACATCAGCCGGTATTTCGAAACTGCGCTGCTAAAGATGCGGAATGAAGTCCTACCAGACACGGAGTCTTGTCCTGAAATGATCATTGCGAAGCGAGCCGGAGCGAGATGTATGTAGGCAGAACTATAGGATAAAAAAAAACAGTGCTGTCTGAAGATACCGCGGCGACCCACGCAGATCGAGAAATCCACCGCACCGGATTTCCACGCGAAGTCTAATTGATGCGCCTTCTCCCTCTCCTCGGCAGCCGAGAGTTCCACAATAATTGCACCCAGCCCAATGAGAGGTCTTCCGTATCCATCACTCGCAGGTACAATCATGAAGGAGACCGTCACCAGGACTTTACTCAATTACTTACTCAAGGACACGAAATTGCTTCCCTTAGTATTGAGTCTGTACTCCAGACTCCGCTCGCCAACGGCATTTCCGGCTTTCCAGCTCGCTC